GATGAGTTTAAACAACCTACTAGGTGATGGAGAGCAGAGGGCAAGAAGGCTGATGGTGCTCCAGAGTGCCTCAAAGGTACAGAGAATTCGTCCCCAGGGGAGTAGGCTGGGATAACTGGGATGGCTGCTACATAATCTGTGGGTTTTTTGTTCAGTTGACTTTACCTGCCCCTTCCTTTTCTTTGCTTACGAAGTAAAACCTGTTAAAGGGTGTTTTTCTGGAGTGATTTTGACATTTAATGTCAAAAAGAAGAACCATGGTTTACACTCATGGTCTTTCTTGCAAAGCTGCAAAGGATCAAGTGATTACACCAGCTCAGTAAAGGACAAAACCCAAATGTCAGAGTTACTGGTACAGGGCAGAGAACAAAGCAGAGCAGTGTTGGAGCACTGCATAATTCAGTGGTGTCTGTATCGAGAATGGCCTTTGCAGCCTGAAGGACACAACTATAGGTACACTCAGGATCTGTAGGCACAAAGAGCATGGAAGAAGATGGGTGGGGATCTGTGGCTCACTGTCCCTTGGGAAAGAATTAGGAGGTCTCAGATGGCAGTGACCAACCATTCTTCAGTGGTAAGTTGTCTTTACCATAATATTCTATTTTAGACTATTTCTGCAGTTTGCTAAGGTCAACTTAATTTTTGGCCTGATCTCTGCTGTTAAAGATATTCTTGTTGCAGCCACCCTTTTTTTGTTGTTATTTTTGTTTTTTGTTTGGCTTGTTTGCTAATGTGGGAAAAGTGGTATGTTGATTGTGGGATGGGGTTAATCCTTTTTAATGTGGTTTCTTAAATTTTTGAGGAATCTTTGAGCTGCTTGGATTTTTGTGACAGAGGATTAATGTCAATAAGAAATGTGAAATTGGGACATCACAAACCTCCTCATTCCTATGCTCTCATACCATGCTGGTCCCTGGAGAAGGGAGGCAAGGAGGAGCATACATCTTGGTCTCACTAGGGAAGAAGGAAAAGGTTAGTTTAGATTTTCTCTCTCTATTCTGTAAATGCCTCTGTCAGACCTAATGATGCGAGTGCTCGAGTGCTTTGGCTTGTATTTCATCCATTTTATTAATAAAATTAGTAGATTTTGTGCCTTCTGTCTAACCATGGATGCTTTTGAGCATCAATAAGCAGAAGATAGAAGTCATGATGGAACAAATAAGTCATTTATTTGTGTGGCTTAAAAAAAAATTATTCTAGCTCCTTTACAAATACAGTGTGTAAGGTCTGTATGACATTAGGTTTTAGCACAGTTTGATTTTTTCCCTTTGGCTTCCACTTTTCTGTTGCTGCTGATTCTCCCTAATTAAAGAAAAAAACAAAAGGGCAGGTTGGCTTGAAGAGGGAGGGGGAAAAAAATAAGAGAGAGGAATATCTGAGAAATAAGCCCACAGTGGAGCTTAGTGGCTGCCAACTTGCCTTTCCTTAGTGTCATGATTTCTAGAAATGTGGTGCCATCTTCTCCTTTGCTCTTTCAGAGACTGGACTTTGTCTTCCTTTCTCCCCATTAAAGCCAAGGGCACACCAATCAGTTTATTTATTTTACTTTCTGTCAGATGCATCTTATTCTCTCCCACACATTTATGTATTAGTTGCCTTGAAAGCAGCAGATAAGAGTAGGGAGCACATTCCAGTCAAGATTCAATGTCTGGAATTGTTCAATAGCTACCTTGACCAGCAGCAGTGTAGTCTAGGATTTGCTTTGGGGTGCTTTGGGGAGTGTGTTCTGCTCATGCTTAATGCTTCATGCACATCAAAGAGGATTAGCTGTGAATGGATCTGAGTATCAGGGGCAGAGCAGAATGGTCAGAAAACTTGGCTGGGGAGCTTCGGGCAGGCTGTTTAAACCTTCCAGGTAGAAATGATTTGGGGTCACAACTCTTCTTTACTTGTCAGGGGGGAAATAATTGGAAGTGTAATGTTTTGTCCCATAAGCCAGAATCCCCAAGGCACAAATGTATATCACATTTTCTTGTGTATATAGATTCTTGTTTAATAACAGCTTTTGGCAGCACACTTCCTTTCACTGTGCGTGGGGTACAAGTTGTGTTGGAGATTTTATTGATGTTTTTGTGTGAGGAATTCACACTTGAGAGCTGGGGGAGATTTGGTGCATACCTCACAATTACCATATCCAGCGTTTAGTCCATTTAGATGTCATTTGTGTTTTATCAGGGTGTGCCATTCAAACTAGAGATTTTAGATGCTTGGCATTTCTCTCTCAAATTACATAGGCTGTAAGTGTGTGCTACAAGCATCCAAACTCTTCATCTTTTCCGGGCTGTCACGTGCAGTGAGGTTGCATTATTTCTGTTCTGGAACTGGGTTGGGGTAGAGAGGAAGTGCTTAGAATTTAAATCTGAAAAAAAATTCAAAACTCTCCCTTTCCGTGTGGGTTTCTGAAGCAGCACAGGCCTGTTTCAGTTCTGGATAGTGGTTGCTGGGGAAGCCAACCTGCCTTTAGGATAGTCCTGGCCGGACAACTCAGGCAAAATGCAGCGTCCTGTACCGAGCTGCCCCAGTGGATACAGAGTTTAACATCATTCAGAAGCATTTGCTGTTTTTCTGTTTGACAAACTCCCATGCATTCCTTGGAATGTATTTTAGGTGCTCTGCAGAGAGCATTCCCATGGCCTGTTTGAGGCATATCCTGATACTTCCTGAAGGGTCCTGGAATACACCAGCCGAGGCAGGACAGCATTTCCCTGTCCCGGTTGGACACCGCTCTGGCCCGCTCTGATTTATCGAGGTGGCAAAGTGCACGAGCTTACAGCATTTATGATTTCTTAATATTTCCAAAGTGGAATTTCTTTCAAGATTTATGAGGGCTAAATATCCTCTAATTTGCTCCCTTTTTCTCCCATATGGATATAATATTTCCCCTAAACAGTTCCTCCTCCTTCTTAAATGAATTAAAAGCCTGTTTCCCTGGCTCTGTGTACAGTAGTGTTAAATATTGCCAAATAATAGTAGCTGGTCTAAGGCTATTGTGTTCCTTGCTAGAATAATCCCTAAATTTACTTCTAGCAAGTGATTAAAAGGCTACTGTCATTTCAGCCTTCTCTTTGGCATCACTTTGGTCCCCTGGTCCAAGCAGAAGGGACATGATAGAGCATCAAATCAGTCATGCTTGAGCTTCAGCTGATTTTGGGAACTCCCCTGGGGTCCAGGGAGTTTTAGAAGGATCTGAGTTCCCTCCTCGTTTTGCCAGGCACCTTATAAGGGGGAATCTGCACTAGGGACAGGCATTCCTTACTCCATGTCAGACTACTGTAAGCTGTCTTTTCCCTGTGTCTAACTTGCAAATAGGCCAGATACAGCACCAAGATATCTGAGAAAACACTGAACTAATTTGTGAGGTTACTGAAGTTTTTAAGATATTTTCAGAATAAATGTATTACAATTAATACTGTCTTGTTCTTATTTATTTATTTATTTTTAAATAGGCCCGTGGGGGTCTTTCACTTAAGAGCTTCAGAAGCTCTATTTAACACCCCTTTCCCACCTTTTCCCAAATAAAGTGTATATATCCTTTCATATTCTCAGCTCTGGAAAAAAACATTCCTTTCCTCCTAGATTAGTCATCTGTGCATCTTGCTTTTATGGTTATAGATTATCTTATTAAAGATTGCATGAGTGGATGTGAAGCAGCATGCATGGGTGCATTCGAGTCTTCTGGTTTTGTTAAATACTCTCTCTTACCCCTTTCCAGAGATTTCTGCAGCCTGTGATTTACTGGGCATCTGCAACAGGACTTGACTTTGAGCAGTTTATATTTCAGCTTTCATTCCATCCTTTCCTCACTGTGCTGCTGTCTGAAATTCTTGCTCTGTACCTGGCTGTGGCATAGTGAAGATGAGTCTTTCTTAATTCAGGTAGTTCAAGTCCAAAGGTTATCTGATTGCAGTAGCACAGAGTTGCATGCTGAGTACAGAAACAGCCTGAAGGGAGAGTTAAACCTGTGGGTTCCATCTGTCCCAGCCCCATGCCTAGGTTATCAAGGCTGGATCTGTTTCAGAAGCATGTGCCTTGCACTACAGTGGAGGTGTACTCTCTCACTCTGAATATGTGCTACATTCCTTTCTTAATTTCTGTAGAATGGTGGGATTGATTTTGATCCGGGGCATCCCTGCTATCTGTTTTGATATGATTGAATGAACAAGATTTCTAGTAGTATTAGCGTGCTTTCTGTCTTGATACATTCAGAAATGGTCCCATATGGAAGTTAATGTTTGCTAATTGTTTCCTTCTCTCTGGCCACTGTACTAATTGTTTCTACAAGAGACAAATTTTTAGTAGCTGCCGTGTTCGTGTGTTGATGGTGTAATTAGGATAATGTATTTCAATAATGTATTTCCATAATGACATGGTGAAGAGGGACAAGGTTTCTCTTTTGTGAGGGATTCTGGATGGATCACAACTGTTTGGTTTGGCAAGGACCTCTCGAATATTTTATATGTTACTGAATGCAGAAGGAAACATCCAAGTCTGCACTGAATTTCCACTGTCTGTAAACCAAGAGTTGCTTCATGATGAAACTGTTTCCTTTCTTGCCTGTGTGGTGATAACTGCTGTGTATGTGCATATGAGTGAGGCCAGAGCAGCCATGAGAGCAGGTAACCCCAGCCTTGCTCTCCACAGGTGCTTGCCCAGTGCATTCCCACCTGCACAGAGCAGCACAACGTGGATGTGTCATGAACAATATAAAGCCTGTTCCACATACGTTGTCTTAGCCAAACAACAGTGGGGAAGTTCTAAATTGTTGAGTGGAAGGGATGGCCAGGTCATGATTTGAGTGATTTGAGTGTTCTCATGGCACAAACTCTGAGAGATTTGTTTCGCTGCAGTCACCTTTGGGTAAAAGTAAAATCTTTCACGTTACTGTATTGCCAGTGAGAATGCAGAATCTGCACTTAGGGTATGGATTCTCTCAGCCTTCCTGCAGAAATTTATCCTTCCTAGTTCAGGAGTTAATTTCTTTCTCATTTTGATTTTCTCAGGTTCTCGAAGCCGGCACCAATGTTCTTGGATGATTCCTTCAGGAAATGGGCACGAATCAGGGACTTTGTACCCCCCTTTGGAATTAAAGGACAAGGTATGAATGAGAGCTGTTGGAGAAGAAGGTGGTTCTGCAGATGTTTGCCCCATTTTGTTTTTCTGTTTTGAAAACTTAGGTGTCCCCTTGGGCTCAGTGGTTTTTTCCCCTGTTCGAGAGAAATACTTTACATGTAACTTGCTGAACCCCAGAAGGGTTTTCACAGCTGGAACGGGGACCCCAGAGGCTGGTCTGAGGGAAGATGGTGTAGTACATGCAGAGAATCAGTGCAGCAATGGCAATTTAGACCTACCTGCTCATTCTGGAAGAAGCATTTTGACACTGACTGCCAGAGAATCTTGTTGCACCTTTGCTGACAGCAGCTGAGAGTTCAAACTGACTTAAACAACCTTTAGGTCAGTAATTCTCTGAAGAAGAGGAAAGATGCCTTGGGGTTGACCACTGATACAAATCTTCATTTTCTTCTCATAGCATTTTATAGCTGGGCTAATTATTGATTTATATAACAAATAGGAAAAGTCTGCTGAGATGCTTTGGTGATGATTTGCAGGATGTCCTGTCCTCCAGCTGAGTGTCACAGCAGGAGCTGTGTCTCAGGTGTGCCGTGGGAAGGCAGGGATGGTGCTGGTGGTCACAAGATGGGGGCCAGTAGCCCAGCCAGCAGATGATCTGTTCTGTGGGTGACAGGCTCCTGGCTATCCCACATGTGCTATCAAAGGCCTCTCTGGGTGAGTGGTGGTGAGCAGAAGGTTTGTGCTCACTGCAGTGATTTGCTGCAGACTTGCTGAAGTCCAGTGTGTTTATTAAGAAGTGTTGGTTGCTTTGCATCAACTTGCAGGATTTTTATTCTGCTGACAAACTCACAGATAGAGATAGCCCCCATGAGAACTGAAATATCTGATGGAGAAGGGGCAGCAACCACAGAAGGCCTGGGTCTGTCTCTCTGCCTGGAAGCAGGTGTGGCAGTTGTCAGAACAATCTCTGATGAAATCAAAAGGCTCTGCTGACAAATTGCTCTTGGCTTGCATCAGTTCCCTTCTTTGTTTTGTCCATTCCTTGTCCAGTCGGTCTTTTGCAGCTCAATAGGAAACTAATTGCTGTCCTCTAATTTAGCCAGCAAAGAACTAACAGTGGCAGCACAAGTGAGAGGCTGTGGTGACCACAGGAGGGCTTGTCCCCTTCTAACCAAGCACACAAGGTGTACAAAGCCAGGGCAAGCCGACTGACCGTCGTGGAGGTGGGATTTGCAGATTACACATGATGTCAGCCAGACCTAACAAAAATCATTGCATTAAACGGAATCCAAGTGGAGAAATTCACCAAAAGAGAATGACGGAACAGCTCTGGCAGCCTTCTCCCTGGGTTTGCTGCCAGCTTGTATCACCACTGCAGTGTTATGTAAATCTGGTGTTTTATATTGGATTTCCTCGGTTAAAAAGAGAAATGAGAAATTGCCATTATTTAAATGGCTGTGAGCTGAAGCCACGGGATGGAAACCGTTGAATAGGTTATTTTTTTAACACCCTCCTGGGACTGAACTTTGTGCCAAGTTTCAGTCTGGAGCAAGTTCTGTGTGTGGGAGGGTTGCATTATAAATCTGCGTAGCCCAGGATTTCTAATGGCCGCGCTGACAGGCTGTGAGTCCTCGCGATGCGAATGGCGCCCTTTCATGTTACACATCACTTGGAATTCTTGCATCAGTCTTTTCTGGCTGTCCCAGGGGATGCATTCGGCCTCAGCCGAGTGATTGGATGATGGGATCAGCACCTCATTAGGGCTTTCAGTCAGGGCAGTCTAATGGTATCCAAAACAACTGACCCAGGCAGGCAGCGTGGAGCTCAGTCACCTGGCGGTGCGAGGTGAAGGCTCTCAGAGCTGGGATGTGCATGGGAAATCGAGTAGTCAGGGCGGCTAAGAAAGTGTGGAGAGATGGGGCTGTGTTGAAACAGACGGGGCAGGAGTTCTGCTCTGTGCATTAGGCAGCCCTGTGACACCGTCAGCTGGGATTTCCAACATGCATCACACTGGGAAGGGTGGTTGGTGCTTGTAGACAATGACTGTAGCTGAGGTGGTAATGGAAAGACCTTGCTGAGAACTTTGGTGAATAACACCTGGTGTTTTAAAGTCGCTGTGATCCATCCCAAGTGCAAAATGGCTTTTGTGTGTGTGTATGTGTGAAATACAGGTACAGGATGAGCTTACTTATAATACTGCTGCATGTTTCAAGAAACTTCTAGAAACTATATCTTGAAAGTACTAAAAGTTATGAAATCAAGGGATTCTTAGCAGCTTTCACTTTTTAAAGTTTCTCTCTATTCTTCAGGCTCTCACCTACATTTTGCTTTGCTTTGTCTCTGAATAAAAATCTGAACAAAATCCTTTTTCACCCACCGCTTGGTGTTTACTGGTCCAAGAAAGAACAATTCCAAGATTGCCAGAATGACTCTTAACAATCTTCAGGGGAAAGCAGCTTTTGAGGAGCAATGCCTTCTGGGCTGCACTAATTTGGAATAACACGTCTGTATAAATTAGATGTAAAAGAGTAGAAATGGCTCCGAAATTTTCAGGGCAGGACTACTGCTCTTTAAAGGTTATCATATCAAGGAGAAGGCAGTATGCTGATCATTTTGACACAGTTCATCAGAGATCTTCATTTTCTTCAATGAGAATCTGATTGCAGAGACAGTTCTTCCATCTCCAGATGCTACGAAGTACTCGGTACAACACAGAACGTTTAACAGAGTTTCTTTGTGAGAGACTGCTCGCTCCTTTACTCCAGTGGTCATTTTCTGATTTGTCCATTAGCCCAGGCAAGGGGTTTTTATGGCTCATTCTCTCTCAGCAAGAGCATTTGTGTGTAGAAGCCGTCAAGGGGAATGTGGTCTTGAATACGAAAGTTTTTAGACTTTGCCTCAAATGCTGCTGGATCTGAAAGGGACTGTTGCAGTAGGAATTGCAGCAGTCAGATTGGAAACTGCTGCTGTTGTCAGGTAACAACCTTAGTGATTCCTTGTGTGCTAAATGAAAGAGGCACAGAAAATAGGCAGGTGGCAACCCTGCTGCTTGATGAGCGGGACTTTCTGGGATGAGGCAAGTGGCACGCAGTCTTGTGCAGACTCTGAACAGTGGTTGTGAGAGTCCTCTACAAGGTATTAGAAATAGGTGAAGAGGAATTTAAGAGCAGCAGTCATACCTTTTTCTTAATCTGTCTTAAATGGGCAGAGTTTCAGTTCACCAAAGATTTGGATGATGGATTGATCCTAATTACTTGATCCCAGTACTCATCAAACTGGGACAAAAGCGGAGCTGAGAGCTGTCAGGACTGTTGGGGCTAATCCAGCAGATTGAAGGTGTCATTGCATTCATCAGAGATGTTTGTAGCCCTTGTGGAAACTCTGGCTTTCTCTGTGTGCAGAGGATAGGGGAAGTAATAGATATGGAGAGGTGAAGAGGTGTTAGGTTTTGATGCCATAAAGGGTCACTACCAGTATCTAGCTTGGCTTTCCATGCAACAGTGGGTCTAGGTTTTGCCCAGTGATTTCTGCAGTTGGCTATGCAGATTATCTTTCAGAATCTGGATCAAGATTTTCTAAATGAAGAATGACTGTGTTGACAAACAGGCCAGTGTCACGTCTGACTGCAGTTACTTTAAAAAAATGAGATGCTTTTGCCACGTCGAGCTTGTTGTCTCCTACTCTGTGACTTACAGAGTCTGGAAATGGGATGGGCCACTGTAAGTGCTTGGAAATGATGACTGCATCGCTATTAATAAATAAAATGGTTGTCCTCTAGTCCTGAAGGCTGTTGAGCTCATTGTTCAAACAGATTAACTCCCTGCCCCCCCCCCCAAAACAGAGTGGTTATGTCCAGGCTTCCTATCAAGAAAGGTCACTGGCCTCTATTAGCCTGTGAATGCGTGAGAATTTTAGAGGAGGATATTTGTTGGCGCTGGTGAACACATCTGGGACTGTGCTAACCTTTTAATAGTATGGACTTGTGTGGGACAGTGTGGGCCCGTGCCCTGCTGCCAGTTTGTTTGTTAGTGTGTGTATAGCCAAAGCGGGGAACATGGTGAAACTGGTCAGCCCTGAGTTGTCAGGAAGAGCAAACTGTAATGAGAAGTTGGAACTCTAAAAGCTATAAATGTCAGCATGTCCTGTGGGGGACAGCTCAGGCTGCCGAGCACCCTCCTGTGTCCCAGGCTATTGTTTTGGCATTAACTGGGATGTTGGAGTGCCTCCCATGATTCACCATGTGCGAGGACCTCATTTCCTTGTAGGAACCCTTCTTTCCCAGCACCCACCAAGCCTGCTGTTGCAGCTTTTTTCAGTGAGGGGCAAGGAGGCTGCGGCAATCTCAGGCTCTTAAGTGAGCGATGTGGAGATTTTTCAAAAATTTAAATTGACATTTCTTCTTTAGCAGTGCACTGTCAGTGTAATTATGGAGGTATGAATATACACGTGCTGTCCACATAGTTACAGAGACCCTCTAGCACATACACTGCTTTCAGGGTTAAATTTGTCAATGAATAAGCAATGGAAAAATTGTTTATAGTGCTAGTGAGATTATTAATCCCAGAGGGCTTCCTCCCCAAATTTACCTCTGTAGCTAAAGCAAAAGGAAAGAGTTATTTGGAGAAGGGCAACAAACAAGACTGGAGAAATACCTGACTATTAATAGAATTTCTCAGTACATGTGGTTTGAAGAATATAAAAGGCTTTCATAAGAAAGAGTAGCTAGTATCTGGCATCTCCTCCATGTAATGACGATGGAAGAGTTGCTGTAGTTGTTTTATTTTTTTTTAACCTAAGTGAAAACATATGGCACAGCATGCACTAAAAAACTAAACAGACATGATCCATGTAGTATATCTTCCGTGCATTTAGTCAGTAGTTGTGTCAGTGCTTAGCAATAATTATAGGTCTTCACTTCCACCTTTGTTCCTGCTCAGTTGTTTTTAGCAGAGGGGCTGCTTTGTTGGCCCTGAATCAGTTTGCCTTTGAAGGTGATAGTTACTTCTTAGGGAGTGATTCTCTTGT